GTGGACTATAATCGATGACGGTCGGCAGTGGTCGACAGAGGTCAGCGGTGACTGACGATAGTCGATGACGGTCGGTGGTGGTTGACGGAGGTCAGCAGTGGCTATCGACAGTTAGTGGTGGTCGACGTCGATCGACGATGGTGAGGATGATCTTGGACTTGAGCTCCTTCTCAAAGCCTCAAGTTCTCTCTTAAGCCTCTTTCCCCTCATGTGAGGGGTGGGGCTCTATTTATAGTGTTCTAGGTGCAATTAATACGGAAATATGAACCATTCTGATAGGACGGTCCAGCGAACTTCCCTCTATCGGATGGCGTTTGATGGACATTTGAGTGCCTTAACAACGTCGCAATTGGACAATCTTGAGTTCATTGGATTCGTCTCGTCGAGACGCTCGATTCGACTACATACACGCTAAATTTGACATTTATTTGATCTTTCAAATGTGTCCGGAAATCTTTCAAGAATGATTTAATCGCTTGATTTGAGCTTGATTTGACTCGGATTTAACTAACTTTGATATCATTAGGTTTGTCTCATCGAGTCGATCAGTGTGATTATAACTTTGCTGAAATCGAAGCTTTGGATGAATTTTTATCAAGATTTGAATATTTCTTGCTTAAAAAGTTACCTCGAAATCTATCAACCTTAAGATTCGTGTCGGATGATGAAAATTTATAGGTAGCATATCAGCTGCCCCCTGTTTTCGGGCGAATTCGGTTTCATCATTTGAAAATATTAAAATGCACAACACTTTGTATTTATTGAGATATTATTAATGTAATACTAAAAACTTTAATGTTATGCCCGTAAATATATTGATTTTGATAAAAAATATGTAAGAATTACGTGGTTTGTAGGTTAAACTTTGTTAACTTTATATATATATAACAAGCTGTTTGATGAAGTGCTTTGGCCCATTAGGCCATGGAAAGTCCCCGGGCCATTTAGACAGAAATGTATGTGTAGAAATACATTAAAATCTTAGATCAACTTAAGGTAAAGATGTGTGTGGAGCCCATAATATATATAACAGATAATTATTTATAAATAGCGTATAAATTTGGAACATTTAAACATCTTTTGTACCGGATTTTAGTTTTAATTAGAACTTGAGTTTATAAATATATTTGTGGAGTTTAAACATTTACAAAACTTTTAACTTCATCTTATTTATGATTCTGTCCAACAAATCAGAACGAAACCACCAAAATTAATGCTTTTGTTTATTATTATTATTATTATTATTATTATTATGGCTACTGTTTTTTTTTAATGTGCATTTAATGCTATGTTTCATTTCATGCCTATAAATAGAGACATTGGATGAGTTGAAAAAATCACAAGTAAGGAGGAGAAGAAAATCATCTTGCTCTGTGAAAAATTGTTGCGGCTATATGAAGAGTTGCGGTGATGCGAAGAGTTGCGGTGAAGCGGAGAGTTGCGGAGAAAAGTTACGACGAAGCGAAGAGTTGCAGAAAAGAGTTGTGGCGAAGTCTTGCGGTGACGCATAAAGACGAAGCGATGTGGTATAGCGTTGTGACAAAACATTGCGGTGAAGAGTTACTGCAAAACGTCACTAAAATGGTGACAGCTGGAGAACCTCGTTCTACTGAGAATCAGAGGAAAAGTCAGAAACTAGATGATGCAGTGTCAACTGTGATGGAGAGCGAATTGATCTTTTTTCGAAAGAAGTATTTCTTCTCGAATGATATGATAGTGAAGTTACCAACTTCAACTGATCGAGCATATTCTCCACTTTCTGGGTATGTTACTATTTATGAGGCTGCCTTGAAAGTTGGTCTATGATTTCCTCCAGCACCTGAGTTTATTGAAATTATGACAGCATTCGGGGTTTGCATTGCTCAGTTATCTTGTCGAGTGGTGACGGACATTATTGGGTTGACAGTTTTCTTCAGGATTCACGAATTAAAGTTAACACCTGTAATTTTGGCACGACTGTGTGGGTTCTTTACTGATACATATGATAATGTGTTGTTTAAGCATAAGGTGTTGGATTTCCGTCTAAAGGAACCGATAAGACAATGGTCCGTAAAATTTTTCTTAGCAAAAAATGATTGGGGGCTCCGTGAGAGGCGAGGAAGGTTTCAACAATTGTCTGGCTCTTCTCATACTACCAAAGAGGGAATATTGCAGATGCTGGGATTTCCTGACATGAAGGAACTATTGTTTGAGATATAGTATATTTACAAATTTTTTAGTGAAGAATCATTATTCAAGGTCAAGCTTTCTTTCCACCCCGAACGGTCAACAGTTGTAGCGCTAAAGAAATCTAAGAAGAGACATTCTGAGCTAGCCCTTGCAGAATCCTCAAAGAGTCTCCCGACGAGCAGTGAATGTGAAGTACTGCATCAGAAACAAAAGAAAGCTGAAACATCACGGGAGCTTGTGCCAAGCCCTTCAACTATTCACGTTCCTGAAAATATCTTGTCTCATGAATGTATTGGGCTCCTAGAGCTCCTATTGGGCTCCTAGAAGCCTAGAGTTTTGTAAGTTTCTTTTATTTTCTGCTACTATATAATTATTTCATCTCTCTAACCCGTATTTCTTTTCTTTTACGTAGATAAGATGGTGGAAAACCAACAGGGACTAGGACTTGCATTGAGAAACTGGAATTCTGAGTTCGTTAAGATCAAATATTTTTAAGGCGAGTACAAGCGTCGGTATGAATTTGGGGTCAAAAAAATTACATCTCTGGAATCACATTTGACAGAGTGTAGGACAGAACTTTCAACAATGACAACATCCCTCTCGTTGCAGCTTCAGGATCTGGAGAAAACTCGGGAAGGGTAGATAGAAGCACGAGCCAGCCTTCATGAAAGTAATAAGAGCGTGAAAGCCCTTAAGTCGATGGTGTTAGCCCAAGAAGAAGAGATCCGAATTTTGAGGTCCGCAAAAGATGTTGATGTTTCAGAAGTTAAGCGTAAAGCGGTCTACAATTTCATGAAATTGCATAAGTTCAAAACTATCATTCGAGACCGTATCCAAGAAGCTCGTGATCGTGTACTTGATATTGAGGTAAATGAACAATAGAAGTGGTTCACCGAAGAAGAATTCATCCGGGGTTTCTTGAAGGGGAGTCGAGCGGCACAACATCGAACCGGGATTATTGTTAAAGGGCTCACTCCAAGCTAGGCTTCAGAGGACCCTTCCTCAAATTCTGATGGTGATGACATTGAGAGTGAACCAAATAAAGTGTTCTTCAATGACAACGAAGTGGCGGAGGAGAACGTTGATGTCAATTAGTGTTTTACTTTTCCTTTTAATGTTTGCAGCGTATTTGCTTTCGTCATGTTGCTCTAACTTCACAAATGTTGTATTAGTGATGCATGTCGATCAACTTATTTTGCTAAATGTTTGTCCCCCGAGTATCGTTTTACTGATAAGCTTGAAACTTATTTTATTTCATGTCACAGTGGTATCATTTAGAAGTCATTTAGAAGATTGGTATCATTTAGAAGATTTAGTATGTGAGAAGGTTACTGTGGGGTGAGAAGATGAAGATGAAGTGACTCGTGAATGAGTTATTATAATTTTTAAAGATGTCAATTATTTATAGGAAAGTAAGTGAATAATATTTGAGATACATTAATTGTGTATGAGTTGCAATGTATTGCAATGTAATATATAATAACATATGTGGACTACATGGTTGGGGTGGTACTGATAATATTTGCGAAGATTTTCTGCATTCTAAGTTCGGAGCAAGATTTTCCCATCTGAATCCTTAAGCTTAAAGGTTCCAGGCTTGATCATAGCAACCACAATATATGGGCCTTCCCAGAGAGGTGATAATTTATTGCGTTGTGGACAATGGAAGATAGCTTCAATACTACGTAAGACTAGGTCAACGATGGAAATAGGTCGAGGCTTGACTCTTCAGTCGAATCGTCGAGCAACTCTTTGGTGGTAGGAAGCATTTCTAAGATGGGCCACATCGCGTCTGGGAGGAGATCCAAATGTTGTCGGAGTTTTTCCTCATTGTTATCTGAGTCGAAAGTAACTCGTGGGTTTAGAACTCCAATATCAACTAGGATAACAGCCGCAGTGCCGAAACACAAGTTATATGGAG